AACAATTATGTGAAAAGGCATGAAATGCTGGAAGGAAAAAGCAGAGAGTCAGACGATAGCAGTTTGGTGACGCTTGGGCTGGGGAAGACTCATCTGGTATCTTACAGGGGGAGGTGAGCCTGTTAATGCTTAGTCTAGTGGCTTGCACCAGTCGTAGCTACCTGTGTGAACCAATAAATTATTACTTTACACTCTTGAATTGTCTGTATCCAGTTGCAGGCTTTTTTTTTCCCCTGGTTGAAAAGGTGTGACAGCAAAGTGACTCACAGGGGTGCAGACTGGCAGGGGATGCAGGCTGCAGAGGAATTTATTCTGAAAGAGAAATAACAAAAGCTGCAAACAATTGTGCAGTCTGGTGCTGTCATATCTATTCAGATTAGAGGTTTATAGCTTGGATTTTATGGGGGCTCTTAGTAGTAGCAATATAAAAAGGGGAGATAAGAAAGGAACAAACTTCTGCCATACTGAAGAACTTTTATGAATGCACTTACTTCATAGAAGTCAGAAGCTTTCATGGGAGAGGGTGGATTGAGTAAAGCAGGAAAGGTATTTATAATCTGTCAAGAGAGCACTAAATTTAAAGCCAATACTGAAGTTTCTGCATAATGGACTTTATGAAGAATGCTGAATTTGGAATGACTGCTGCTTTACAGATAGAAAATGCGGAACTGAAATATGAAATTACTGAAGGAATAGAACTGGAAGGAGTGCTGACCAAGGGTAACAGGCCTGGTGGGAGTGAGTTGATTTGCGTGGCTCTGCTGCAAAGCTTGCATTCAGCACTCAGGATGTGAGACCAAGATGGCATGATGAACGGCATACTGACAGTCCAAGGAACTTCAAGCAGCTGCAAACGAGTGTTGAAAGAGAAACAATTTGCAGATCAGACCATTTGGCTCACCAGAGGATAATTCAGTCTTGGAAAAGGGCATTGCAAAGAAGAGGAGAATAGTTCTACTTCTCAGCGCAGAGTGTAGACAAAGATGTTGGCCCCTGTGACCTTTTGATTTGGCTCTCCTGGGTTTCCCAGAAGGCAACCCCTGTTCTCTCTGTATATTGCTTTGCAAAATGAGTTGAGATAGATTACAGTTCCCCTGGCCCAGATGGCTCTGGTTTGTATTAAGAGTAGCCCTCAAAACTGATGTGCATGTGCATGAACAATAGGGGTAAATTCAATCAACAGTTGACTTAACCTAGGAACAAATTGGAATTCTATCACTGGTATCAGGTCCCTTGAATGATACCATGCAGAGTGGATGGTGGGGCTTCTAGAAACCCCAGGAGGCTGCTGGAAGGTCTTAACTTTATTGCTAAGGCATCCACTACACCATCCAATTATGCAATTTTATCAGCAGCATTAGAGGAACCCCAGCTGCAGAAGTGATTGCAGCACCAGGTGTGAAGGAATCTGAAAGCATTACTGGCTCCCAAACTGTTGCATGATTGTTTTATCTGGCTAACAGAAAGCTGAAGAACAACTAGGGCAGTATTTATCAAGGAAGCATGCTCAAGGTATGAGATGTGGGGTTTGTATGGGAAGGAGTAAGGAGGCAGCCCACTTCTGAGGACCTAGAATATAAATTTGCGGTGATGCATGGATTCAGCTGGCTGAGTGAACACCTACCTGACACCTAAGGCAGACATCTAAACACAAACATGAGTTTATCTGGGTCAGAAACAGCGCTGATGAGAAAGTGAGTTTAAGACTACAGCTATTTCCTGATGCTAGCACTCTCGATGAATGGACACACTTACCACAACTTATACCCATTTTCACTGACAAGCTGACGTTCTGCTTGGACATAGGCTGTTCGCTCTCCTTGCACTGAGCAGAGGCTCCAGAACATTGCTGCTCTCTTGCTTTAGAATTAATTTCCACTTTCAAGTGTGAATGTGTTCATGTGGTTTATACTTGTATTTGTACCGACACTACCCTTTAGTTCAGCACAGTTCAGAATGGCTTTTTGCACTGAGCGGAGATTAAAACCTAAACGAAGGGTAAATCTTGCTAAATAGCAAAGGCAGCTTTGATACTGTCCTGTGACTCCCTGCCAGGGCACTACTACATGGGCCTTTGAGGGCCATAGGTGGAACCAAGCTCACCCAGACCACCTCCACATGGTTGCATCCAGTTGTGATAAGCCCATTGTCTTTCCTTGGTCTACATTTTGTGAAAGGCAGCTTGGATACACTGAAATATTCGGGCCTACACACTAAGTGACTCTGTACTTTTTTCTTGTCTCTCACATTTGCACTCATCTATGAGGTGTTTAATCCCAACCCTTCTCAATTTAGGCTAATGCATGTTTAGTTGTTGGCTTAGTTTTGGTTTTGTTTAAGAAAGGACATCAGTGTAGTGTTTTCTTTTTTTTTTTTCCTAGTATTCAGCAATTTTGAAATAAATAATCCTTCCTTCTTGTAGCAGGTCCAGGTATTATTAAGGAAAATAATTCAGTGGAGTATCTCTTCTTACTAATCTCATGAAAATCTCTTATCAAAAATACATTAGTTTAGTCCAAGAGACATTGTGATAGATTGCTGCACTAGAATTTTTTTCCTTGGCATATTTATCTATATTAATCTTTTCTTTTAAAATATGTTCTGGAGATGATTAAGAAATGTTTAAAATCTGATTGCCAGTATAAACTGTAACTTGAATACGAACATGTATTTTATGGTGTGCATACATACCCCTGGTGGCCTAGTGGTTAGCGTGCAGGACTTTCACTGCTGCGACCACGGGTTCAAATCCCGGTCTCCTGGCCTGATGGAGGTCGTTAGCCCTGTGTGGCCATCCATCTATGAGAAGGACACTCTAAACAAACCTACGTCCTGAGGACCTCACTGCCATTGTCCAAGCTTGCTTGGCCCCGGCAGATGAACCTTAGGATTAAAGGGTGGGCTCAGTTCAGCGCAGGCTGTGTCTCACCTAAAAAATCCATTGCGCAGGCTGGAAAGGTAAAAGACCTTTCCCCAAATCTTCGTTCGCGAAGATGGGCCATTATTATTATTATTACATACCAAGAATACAGAGATAAGCTGAACCTTTTTAAGGATGTTAATAGCATGTAATGGATTTTATATGGTTTAGATATTTTTCTACTCAGTATTTTTTCAGTGGCTTTTTGCTCAAGACCTCGCCTGTAGTTCATAATGTGTATTAGCCAAAGACAATAGGCTGGCAGGAACCAAGGAGACTGGGTATCAGACCTGTTTTATGACGAAACATGAAATACGGAGGTAGCAAACTGAGAAAGGTAACACAGAAAATATCAGGGAGAAAACAAATTAAAAAAACCAGTTTGCTAGAGTCTTTTTAAAATGTAGCTATTTGAAGATATGTGCATGAGCTAATGTGCAAATATTAATACAGTGAGCAGTCAAGTGGGATGTCAACCATATGCCACTGTATCAGAGGAGCCCAAAAAAACTTCCCAACCAAGCTTATTTCTCATTTTCCACACAGCTGAAACAGGTGAAATTGATGTGTTTATCTGTAATTGAATCAATTCACATGTGGCTATTGATAAATATTTAGAATCTAAATAAGAAATTTTGGTGTTAATGATCTGCCCACCGAACAGGACAGAGATAAAGCAACAGCATGATGTAATAATGTCTTGCACATCCTTCAGTACAAAAATGGAAAAACCTCAATGTTCAATTTAAGAAAAAAATACTCCACAATGAATACTGCAAATGACAGGGACAGTAAATATGTCATTAAAGCAAACAGTCACTACGGTATACGATGTTTAGGGTCGTTTTCTTTAATTCTTCAACTTAATCTGATGATGCATATAAAAATGGAGGGAGTTGATAGGTTCTTTAAATTTTCTTTTAAAAATCACTGCAGTGCTTTCAAAGAATGAACTCCCTTAGTATAAAACTATCAGGAGTGCAATTTCACATTCAAGAAAACCCAGAATCTTTGTTTTAATGAGAAAAAAACCTGTTCTATCACAAAACATGAGATCTCAAATGATCAATTTGAATTATGTTTTATCAGAGTAGTTTCTTCCTGTCAATTACACTTTCATGATAATGCACAGCACGTCTGTAATCACAGATTTTTAGAAACACATTCCAGCACTGTAACATTTTAAATAGCCACATTCCAGTGCATGCTTAAGGATGCATTTTAAGTCTTCACAGAACACATTACATACTCTAGGCTGCTGCCTCTTAAATTACTTATAGAGATTTCCTCAATTATAACAAGTTGTTTGAACCAAAGTTTTATAGTTATTCAGCTCTTGATTTTAAAATGTCTGCGGGATACTAAATTGGTCTGCGTTTATTGTAAACAAAAGTGTCTTTAAAGAGACATGGTTAGCTCAATAATGGTCCCTACTATTTCTAGGCAACTCCAATGATATGTAAAAAATGGGGACTTGTGGATCAGGTATTTTAGAAATACTGGACTATTTGGAAAGTAATTACTTCTTGCACAATTTCTAATTTTAGAAAAGGTATCACAACACTGCCTTGTCAGAAGTGGGTCTTGTAGCACATGGGATATTTCATTCCTTTAAAATAAAAACTAGAATCTCAATAAAATTTAAAAGAAAAAGCAAGAGTTTTAAAATAATATGTTCTTAAAAAGAAAAGAACCTTGCATGCCTCACTCAGTGCTCAATCACTTCAGCTAGAATGTGAAAATCTGAGGTACTAATTAGAAAATTACTCAGAAGTGAAACCTGTGAGTTATTACCTAACCTGGACATACCAAAGTTAAAGAGTAAAACTAATGCATTTTTAGCATTCAACTTTATAATTATATTTGAAACATAAGTAATCTGATAAAAATTATGCTTACTCTGATAATATCCAATTAGAAATTTTATGCATTAGCTAACTTCATCTCCACTAAATTATGCAACATAGTCTATTCCAAATTCTAGAAGGGACGATGAGAGCTAACTTCACTCTCTTAAATAAGTTGATAATCTCTAATACAAGCGTATGCATGACTGTATAGAACTCAGACCAAATATACGGAAGCTACATTCAGTTATGATTCATACCATAGCCATTATGATGACATACTTTGTTTACACAGAGGAGAAGAAAAAGAAAAGAAAAAAAAAGTCTGGCCCCGCCTGGTAGGTGTTCTTAGTCCCACACAGTCACCTACACCTGAAGGAATGAAGGGAGAAGGACAGAGACTATGACCAAGTGGTAGATCTCAACAAGTTGAAAGACAAATGCATGGCCAGAAATTATGGCAGCCCTTCAATGAAAGTCCTGTGGACTGGAAAGCTGCCAAAAGGTAGCTCTTACTCACCACTGCTTTGGTGAACTCTGAAAACAGCTTTGCATTATGTTAACTGAAGGGCTGGTCAGAAGAGCTGAGCGCAACTAAGCTGACGGGTGGTAACAGCACCAAAAGGCATTTGAACTCTACAGCTGCTGTCACCATCCTTCACACTGGCACCAAGACCAGTACTTTTCACTATTATCAATGTTTCTTACCTTCCTGAGCACCTAGAACTGCATTACTTATCAAGTGGGTCTTGATGGAGCTATTGACTAGCATCTTTTCCTAAGAACTCCACGTATGTTCAATAGTACTAATTTGTTCCTAAAAAGCAAAGCCATGTGAATCAGGCAGCAATAAAGGGTTTGGAAACTACTGGTCTCCCTTTTGGCAGATGTCTGTGTGAAGAGCCTTTGCATTCATGCCAACTGGCTCTCCCAAATCATGTATTCAGTATAGTACCAGAGCTTCCAGGTGTGCCCATATAGCATACAGCAACTCTGTATGTGCATCCAAACCACAGCTTAGCCTTGCCTACCACAGGTTAAACCCTTCCTTGTTCAACAAAAGCCAGCAAACTCTGGGGCCTCATAACTCACTGGCAGACATACAGCATTATGCCTCACCTTGGCTAAGACAAAAACTTTCAAATTCAACCTTCCCCCATTTCCAGAGCTACCTCGGCTGGTGGCAGATTAGCTATGAAAGAGGTACATCTCACGTAACTAGCTTCTGGTGTACAGAAAGCTGCCTCCATTCAGGTCAAGTTCTTCCCACTCCCAAGAGCTGCCAACAACATCACTGTGCATGCAATTGGTTTGTAGCGGGACTGGTAAAAGAAAAGAGTTGCTCTTCTGACTAGAAACTATAATTTTGTATCACTAATTAAACAAAAACACTGGATAAAGAACTTGGAAAGCAAGTGTTACTTCTTTTATGTTTGAGAGTGCTCTCCTGTCCTGACCAATCCTGTGGTAAATCTGTCCATATTCAATATTAAAATAAAAAGTAGTGATGTATGCTGATTACTACAGCAGATAAAATTGTCCAGTCCTCATTTTTATGGTCTCTTCTTGATTTCAGTCACAGATGGACCCCTGTTAGAGGGAATCAGAACCCAGTGCTCACGTCTTTATGACTTCTTATCAGTACATCAGAACGTCAGGGTGGAAATACATACAGAGTCTTCACTGTGCCAACTGTACATGTGCAGGCTCTCAAGACAAACTTAGCAATGTAACTTCAACTTACAAATACAACACACTTCTCTGAAGCCTTATAAAAATACCAGTGCAACATAGAGCCATTTTACAAAACAATTGTCTTTATAGAAAGGTATTTTAGTGGTATATGCTGAGGTAAATAATAAAAACAGACCCAAGAGAGGGCATGACCAGTGTTATGGAGAACTCCAGATGAAATTTGGCCAAAAGCCTGTTTTATAAAAGCTAGTATTTACCTACCAGTTATGATCCCTGGTAAGGTGCTTATTGCTGTAATACTTCAATATTATTCTTCAGTTTACAAATTGAAAAATATACGAAATTAGATCTGTATGAATGTTAGGTATTAGCTGTCACAAATTTTAAAAGGCATTGTACCAAGTTTTCTTAATTGTTTACTAACCAATTTGATTGTAGCAGGTAAATAAACTACAGCATACATTTTACCTGACACCATGCATCAAAATCACCATAAAAATTAAGTTTATCAAAGTCCAACTCCACAAGGAAAACATGAAAAAGTGCAAATTATGTACCCAGTATTTCTGTCACAGCTGTTTTTTCTTAATATGGCATGAAAAAGGTTTACAGCATATATTAAGAAAATTCTTACAAGTGTTCACCTCAATGTTTATATACACAACGTTTTGCTCAAAGTGCTCACTATATGAAAAAAACTGATTGGATAAAAATATTTAAACAGTGCTTTCTGAACGTTGAGGGAAGAGTCATATAATACATCAGTCCCATTTGTTTTCCTCTTCACTCAGTGCAATGAGATGCAGAAGTCACATCAACTTCATGAAAACTTCGCTTGCCACATTGCCAGAAAACCGCAGTTACAGTGGCATTCTTGGTGTCCCATTGGGAGTGGGTCTTTTATTTTTTTGCATGTGGCTTTGATGTTTTCGAGATCTTACTACTTTCATTCTTACTTCAAATACTTCTTGTATGGCTTTTCGAAAACAATGGAAATTGTAGTCTATTAATCCTACAGAGACAGAAATGTTTTACATATTAACAAAGACATTCATACAAATTAGGTAATGAAAAAATTGCTCATATTCTACATTTAGTGAAATACCATACTCTCTCTCTGGAGGTCATATTCAGTGAACTGTCCAGGCATTTTTTAATGCACTAAGCAAAAGCACATTTGATAAATACAAATAACTCAGTCAGCATTATAGCTTGATACTATGTCCAATATTACATATACTTATTAGTTTTAAGAGAAAACAAAAAGAAATTCATTGGCAGATATTAAGCTTTAACTTAAAGGGCTTTGAAGAATTGCTCAATACACTAGAAGAAAAATTGAAATCTTTCATAAAATATGGTGCCATGTGGGAAATCTGCTTTACAGAATAGCTGTGATAAAAATAAGTAGCATCTAGTAATCAAAGAATTTTCATTTTTTGACAATACATCAGCTTTGAAATGGATACTTGATAGAAATATTACCAAATCTCAGCCATCTACTCTTCATCTTACTTTGTAATTAAAAGTAACACAATAGACATGCTGTTAGATTACATACATATGTAACAGGCAGATAACATTAGCATGTGAGTGGGCTGAATGTGATCCCACAGAAAAGCTGTAAAGCGATATTGGCAGTCAATCGGAAGACTTACTGAGTGCTACAATTGGGTAATACCGCAATAAAATGTTGGAATTTTGGTACTGAGCTCATCACCTCATTCAGTGTTAATGCCATAAGCTTTCTTAACTCAAATACTGCATTATTTCTCACTTCAATTTCCCTAACAGGAGATTACAGGTATTGTAAGTGGTTAAAATCCACTGTATTACACTTTGTGATTTTTTTTCCCAGGAATTATTTTCCCTCTCCCAGACCAGATATTATGTGGAAGTCAACAGGCATGAAAAGTTATAATAGAACTGTACTGTTATAGAGTGCAAGCTATGAAGTGTCCCAACTATGTAGACACAACAACCTGATGCAGTTTTGGACAACCCCTAATGGGTGTTTATTGAACGTGGTGTCTTTTCTCAAACAGAGTTGTTAGTAGGTATGTGGAAGTAACACTTCTTATGCTTAAAACAGAGAAAGTAAGTGACCACATCCCACATTCATTTGTAATAAAAGGCGTAAGGGTATGAAAGAGACATTTGACGAGTTGAAGTTTTATAAAAAGCTCAATGGCCTGTCAAGCAGCCCAGCAGACATGGCATGAGTGCTGCATTCACAAACACAGCAACACTGACTAGTGAATTAATATCACAAGATGGGGAACACAAGCCCAGTTCACAGCTTATTCTTCTGATGAGTTCTGATCTCAGGGCATTTCACGAAGACCATTAACTCAGTGAACATCATGCCAGTGAGCAGACAGATCATGAACTAAGCTTTAAGTATTCACCTTGTCCCGTGTCAGAAAGATAACCAAGGAATTTTAAACACTTTAACTGCAAAATATGAAAGCTGCCTAGGTATAAACATGCAACTTTCCAAAAGCCTCCTTTCAGATATAAGAAAAGCAAGAACATGTTTCTTTCTATCAGCCAGTTGCAATAATTTTCCCGTGGTTATGGCACACAAGCTGTTCTAAATGTGTATGCTGGTGTCAACAGGTAAAAATCAATGTCAGCCAAAAGAAACTGAAACATTCTGCTGTTGCAGATGGAAGCTTTACTGCACTGGATGTAAATTTTCAAATGATTTCGTATCAGAAAGTTGTCAAATATGTTTATGATTTCATCTTATCTTAATGTCAGCACAAATACTTCATGCTTTTAAACATGTTAGGTAAACTTTATCAGGCTGTACTTACCTTTAATATTTATGATACAGGTAGAGAGTGTTATCAGCTAATAACAACCACAGTTATTCATTAACTTGCTAATAGAAGGGAAAAGCAATGCATTACTAGAAAAGGGAAAAATACCTTTTCTCTCAAAGCTTTCTTCTCTGACAAAACAAACAAGAGCGAGGAATTTTGTCACCTCTTTTAAATAAAGGACAGTTGTATTGTTCAGTTTTATGATTGCCATTGACTCTTTGTCATAAGGAGTTCCAGTGCCATCATCTTTAAGCCTAAAGAGCAACATTCAAACAAATAAACATAAAAAGATAAGCCACCAGATGAGCTAACAAAAGTAGTCCTACATTGGTTCTTTCACCAAATAATCTCAAAATTTATGAAACTTTTATTTTAACCTTTCAGGGAGACTCTTCTTCAAGCTACACACTTCGTAAACTAAGAAGACAAAGACATTAAATCGTTTATCCAATCACACACCAAATCTTAGACCTGCAGTTAGAATCAGGTTGTTTGATTGCCGAGTGCCTGAACCGGAGCCTTATTTTTTCCTCTGTTAGTTACCAACCATTTGCCATAATGCTGGTGGGTTTTTTTAATCAATGCACTATATTATGACTTATCTAAAACACGTGAAACAGTGAGTCTGTACTGATAATTCCAAAAACAGAAACCTTGCTTGAGCAGTGGCAACTGATTGATAGTTTCTGACATTATGAGACTTTGCTGGCTTTTGCAATATCATATCGTGAAAAGAGATTTCCCCTTCACAGATGATGTGTCATAATGATCACTGTATTAGTTTTTGTGCCTTGTAATTTTATCCTCATTCCTGAATGCACACACAGATATTCTTAAATGGATAGTTATTACCAACCTCACAGAACAATTAGTCTCAATAATATATTAAAATGACAAGTTCCACAGATGCTCCAGGAATAGAGGACAAGAAATGAATTGTAATATCATGTCTTAAGTCTGTAGCTAAAAAAATGGCAAGCAGATTTCTGGTGATAAATGCTAAATGGCTACACAAAGACAGTGGTGGCACGACATATTGTGAATAAAGAGGCCCACAAGTGGTGTTGTACAGATAATTATTAAATGCACTGTCTTTTGAACTACACAGCAGCATCCTTCTTGGTACAAAAATCAGCATCCTTTATTTTATACCTCTGTAAAACAAGTTCCTATACAGTTACTGAAGTGACTACTACAAATTCTGAAACATAGTAGAATGTACAATCAGAACTTTTAGAAACGTATTACTCTCCCTGGTACCTTCTCCAGGAGTGCAGGAAGTCTATCAATGGATACAAATGCAAAGCTACCAAAGCCTACCACACTCTAACCATGCTGTGCTTGGGCCTCCAAGTGTATGCAACTTAATGCACTAATTCTTAATGTGCCCCTGCCTTTCCCTGGAATGGCTGGCATTACATTTGGCCAAGAGCCAAGCCATTGAAAACATAACTTGCAAGAAAATGTACGACACCCCAGGAGATCTCTGGTTGCTCATGTATTAGAAGGAGAAATTGAAAAAAAACCCCAGAAAAGTTACATAGGGAAAAGAGGACAAAGAGAGAACTGAAGCAAGAGTGAAGCAACTCTCTGAGGCCATTAGAGGCCACTAGCTATTAAACAAAAATAAATATGGCCCCATATATTTTAAAACAGGATGCATCCTTCTGTTGACTTTGTCCCTGCGGAACAAAAAAATAATGTTTCCTTTTATTTTAGGTTGGTTTCTTCCAACTCTTTCCTCCAAGTAAAATTATTAGAATAGAAAGAAGATGATGTTCATAAAAAAGGCTGAGAAGGGAGCTGTGCTTGTTGCTGGGAAGGGATCTGTACCTCAGAAGCCTGCCGTTTGTTTTCTGCTTCTCCCCTGTCCTGCCAAATTGCATGTTGTTGTTTATGCCCACATCACTCTAATTTTGAGGCTATTCAGATTCAAGGTACACAGTTTTATGGAAAACATTCACAATTTACTTACCCATATATACAAGAAATGTCAATCACAACATCTATCATATCACAGCAGAGCTCATAAGTTTGCATATCCACTGGAGTACTGTCCGTTGCAATATAGATCTTACTGACTACATCAAATAAAAATGCTTTTTCAATCCCAGAATTCTATTTAAGAGAAGAAAAAAGAAAAATAAAGTGGGAGCCAAGTCTTCAAATTAACACCAAGCTTTTTTGTTCCCTTGCCTATTATACAAAAAGCTAGGCTAAAGAAGTAGAAGTTAAATTGCAATCAAGCTCATTTTGAAAGAACTGTACATACAGCACTGTCATATTTGTAGCAAACCATAATGCTCAGAGACCTTCCAAAAATTTCTGCCTCTGAGCAGATAATGCCTAGTTACACTCCCCAACTTCCCCTCTCAGGAACACACCTGGAGAGATTACATTTATTTTCACTGGAAAATGCAGGAGTAGGGAAAAAAAAATCTTCCAATTTCAAGCTTTTGGATTTTTGATTGCAGCAATGGACATAAAAAGAGAACCACAATTTAAAGTTCTTCTAGCTGGACATGTAAGAAGGTAGAAACAAAGGAAAGAAAAAGGTGATGCACAAAGAAGGCAGTAATGTTCAGGAACAAATTTCTCAAGGAAATTAAAAAATTTTCTCATTGGGGTCTGTAGCTGTTCTACTGCCTGTAGAACATCTTTTAGGATCACAGGACAAAGACCAGTATTTTGATGGTGCATTCACTTTTCATGTAGCACTGGTGGTTAAAGCCATATTTATAATGCTAAGGCTTGCTAAAGTGATGACAGCTATGTTCCTGACATCCTGCCAAGCTGGTTAAGACTCTCTCCATACTGAAGATGTATCGTATTCACAGCTCTGAGAGGCCAGCAGGAATGCTAGCTCATACTCTTTGTGCAGATAAGGTCAGCTGCCATAAGCCTCTGCTTCCTGGAAAAAAAACCCGTGTACTGCTTAACTGAAAACAGTAGCCTTGCTTGCTGATATCAAGGGATTACACCCAGGCAGCTGTCCCAGCACGAAAAAAAGGGCAATTTCCCAGTAGTGCTAAAGCTCAAACTATAAAATATGCTTCGGAATCCACCTATACAGCAAGTTTCTCTATCAAACTGAATTGTCTCTATATATGGGCTTCTCTTTTTAACATGGTTTGGGACTGCTGCCAGAGCAGTTTTGTAACTACCAAAACCCACACTGAAAATCCCTAACAAGTTTTAATAGTTTCAGCTTCCTTTGTAGTTACAGAACTTTTCCTTTATCTTCTTTCTTTTCTAAGTCAACTGTTTAACACGTAGTTGAAGAGACTAAAGTGACGACTCTGCTTTCCATATTTCCTGAAATATGTAGAAATTCTCAAGGAAAAACTCAAGGAAAAAGACCGAAATTGTAGAAACAATAATTACATGTTATATAAAATCAGGAAAAGGTGGAAAAAAGTACTGTTCAAAGACACATTACATCATTAATGCTCAGTCAGGGAAAATGACGATAAGATAGAGCAGGTGGGTTCCTTATTAGAGAAAAAAAGGCCTTATGCAGCTGAATGAAAGGCTGCCATTGATGTCAATGAGAGCAATGTCAGAATAAGCACTACTTCTCTCTGGCATAACCCTACAGTTTGCAGAGAAGATGCAACGTGCTAGAAGCTCTATTAAGCACTCTGAATTGATGTAAGAGTATTCCATGGTTAATCTGAACCAAGAGAGTCATTGTGAAAAATCTGCAATGAATATATGAGATTTTATTTTGGATAGGTAAAAACCATAAGATAGTTGAAATTCAAACGTTTCTCAACTATACTGGGTGTGATGATGTAGAAGGCAGTTTCTGCTCTTAAATAGAGTGGGTTCATTAAAACTGGTTGTATTTCTCCAGTTCCTAGGTTAAGTAAACAGGCCTGTTGTTTTCTTTCTTGAAAGTATGAAGAGTAAGCCAAGATTTGGTCCTAAAAAGCAATTCTTGAAAGAACTTAAGAGAATATCTCCAGTCACATACCGTTAGGAATGAATTCTGGACAGTTATTTAAACAGGCCTTACAGCACACAGATTTCATGAATTAATTTTAAGTACTACATTTGAATTTACTGATTACAAAATTTAAATCATTAAATGAACAGAACTGTACATAGTTTTGTTTTTACCATAATAATTAATTGTTTTTAAAACACGCTTTTTAATAGCCCTCAAAACAAAACAAACAATCCTAAAATGAAAATCCACATTCACATTGTCACACAACTTGATTGCTTGGTAAGGCCATGGTAATTAAGAAACAGGCATCCTTCAACATGAAGCTGACAAGTGTGTTAGGTAAGATTTACATGAACGTACAGATGAACTGTTATTTTATGACTTACAAGCAGCTACATTAAAGAATGTAGAAGCACTATTATCACACTGATGGTTCCTCAAACGTACAAGCTCACACACTGTGGTGGTATAAATTTAGACAAAAACCTGCAGTGAACTTAAGAGTGATCACAGATCTATTTCTGTAATCATCAGCTTTTTGTGTTGGAAGTCCCCATGGCATAAAGGAAAGCACATCCTCATGAATACTGCTGCAAAACTGAAAGTAGAACACGAATACACCCACACTTTGATATCCACCACACTGGCTTCCTGAGGTAAGGCATGACCAAAATCCATGTCAAGATCTGTTGTTACTAAGTTGCTTAGGTAAAGAGGCACCCGCTAACTAATTCTAGGCTGGAGAAGGATGTTTAGTCTTCCTGTGGTTGCAAATAGTCATTCCAAGTCTCTCTGTCCACAGACAGAAGATGCTTGTAAAAACAGACAGGAAGCATGAGGACAGTGATGCAGCTACACCCAGCTCCAGGTTACTCACAAACTGGAGCCAAGGAACAGTCTGAGATTCTTTCCCCTACCAAACAGGGGAAATAAGCACACCTCTCTCAATTTTTTGACTTCTCATTCATTCGAAATAGTTGTTCTTCCTTACCAATTATACCTGATATTCTAGATATGATTGGAGGTGGGTGTTCCAGACACATGTGCAACTGTCATGTCATTCAGGAAGCAGCTTGTGATCAATTCATGTAGTGATTTCATACAAATTCTTCACCAACTCCAAACAGCGAGGAGAACTCATATAGTGATCTGACTCACAATATGAGTGACTGGGGTGATTCTGGCACAAGGAGTACCATCACTCAGACAGCTTTCTCATTAAGACTGTAGCATATTCAATATCTAATTTCTCCAAAACTTGTCATCATTCTTTCATTACTTTTCTGTCCTAAGTGGAGTTTGAGACTGGACGATAACTAGTATACAGTCCAGCTATTTTAGTAGAAATAGATCTTTGTAACAAACCATTCATTATGAAACAGCATAATTTGTTGCTTAGTAATAAGAGAATAAGTTTTGGAAAGACCTTCCTCTAATCCTAGTTCTGCCTTTCACATCCAACTTTTCCCTCTCTCCTTTTTCACACTCTACACTGAGAAACTGTGAAGTCTAATTTTATCTTACAGGCTGTTGAATGACATTAAATAATCTCATTATGTCAAAATCACAAAAAAGACACAATAAAATACCTTGCTTGGAAATTGCAGCTTGAGAAATTAATGCTAGATGCAAGGCGAAAAATTAGAATACTGTGAGAAAGGGTGCAGTTTTAGGAGCCACTGTGATCTGATTTAATGGCCACTAAAACAGTGAGTTTCCCCTTTTCACAACCTACTCACTGTGTTCCCCGTTGCTCATTGCTACATGTTCCCATCTCGTACCTTGTGCCAAAACAAGAGCATGTTTGACTCCTCCATGATCTGCTTTTAACTAAATTCTACAGTGCATTAGTGTGTGTCATAGTGACTCCATGAGGGAATAGGTGAGTGTCAGAACCAGTACAAAGGAAAGGAAGGATCAGACATACAGGAAGAGCGGAGCAAGCCATTGCCTCCGCAGTGGTAACAAGCCACTAAATATACAAAGCTCCCTAACTGGCCTTCAGAGTAACTATGGAAGCAGTGAAAGTTGTGGTGGGCTCTAAAAATATCAAGACATGAGAAACTTTTCTCTTCTACAAAGTAGAATTAATTCTAAGCACTATAGACAGGTCTACATATGAGGTTAGACTAGATTATGTTCCTGTAAGAATTTATCCATACAAATTTAAAGTACAACTTAAACAAACGCATGCAGCACAGACCTTTGCAATATTCAGATTAATGTATGAGCAGAAAAGTGATGGCTGTGTACCCATTTTATGTGATTCAGGAAATACTATATCGCAGCAGCTCAGCAACATTGTTTAATAGACAGGGAGGTGAGGCCAAGCTGCATGTAGGTGCATTTTAACTAAGTTCTGATAATTTCTCTGGGAGTTCACATTGCTCATGATCTCTCAGAAGGCAGTGAAAAGACTATCTGAACATGCATGTTGGACATAGCCAGATCTACGGACAAAGTATATAATAAGTACTTACTGAAATAAAGATGTTAAGCAGGTTTTCCAGTGTTGGGAGCTGTGGAATCAGTTTCTGTACCACTTTGCTAAACGCTTCAAATATAGAATGATCATATATGCTTGTCAGATAAAAGCTGGAAAAAAATGTCACCACATTTTCCTTTTAGCCACATACTGTGAACATGATGTACCTTTCATAATATGAGTGAAATGAAATACTGTCAAACAGTAAGTGCCTACACTTATGCAATTACTCCCTGTGACCAAATGTCACGTTACAATTGAAGCACAGGACTTCCATCTCTATACCAGAAAAAAACCCCAAACCCTAGACTCTGAAAAACTAGACCTGGATGTAGAATTACATGATGCAACTCCCACCTTGGTATTCTTACAAAAAATACTTTTCAAATTGAAGCAGAAGAGTATTACTGAGTATGTGTGTTGTGATCTACTTTTTGAAAGTTGTGGACCCATTTATCAATGCAGTGATGCAGTCAAGTAGTTAAGAGCTCTAAAGAGCTAGCATTTTCATGGAGCAGGTCTCTTTTTAATATGTTTGTACTTGGCCTTAAAGTGCTAAGGAAGCCATGACAACTTGATGTCCTCTAGTTCCCAGTCTGCAGAAGTCCACTATTTTTCTGCTACAATAATCTCTTTATCAGCAGACATAAGGCAAAGATACAGGACCTGTCTTCCCAAGTGGCTCCAAGCAGGCTGCAGCAGTGAGGACTACTGACTGGGAAGGCAGAGAGGTTTCAAAGAAGGCAAAAGTGATGTAGTGGCCTATACACTCTATTGGCTGGAACTCTACTGATTGCTGCCACTGTCCAAGTAACTTATTTCAAGACAGTAGCTGCAGCAGAAACTGCTAGGAATCCAGCATACTTGTCATCTGTTTTTAAGCACATCTCTCCATCTTTCCTTCCAAGACAGCAATTAGAAATAAGACACTGCATTCCACCTGATTATCCCTTTCCTTCATATATCAAAGGCTTGCTAGTTCAAGAGAACAGAAAATGGTAACTTGTCAAATAAGCTGCTCTCCTCTTCAGGATTCTCAGCACAGCAGCTTTTCTCACCTGAGGTGAATCTTCTCCAATCCAGCATCTGCAAGGTCATCATTTGCCCTCTGGTGAATATCTCTTTGTGTTTCAATCTTGTGATCATCAGATAAACCATCCACTTTATGGATAAAGATTTCAAAGTTGATATCTGGATTCACTTTATAAGCTCTGGTCACAGTAAGATGCAGCCGAGCTAATGCTTCCATATAATCATCCTAATGAAGGAAAAAGAAGAGCTACAGCTTAGGAAAGATCTTAAAATAGATATAATACATTTTATGATACTTACTTTTAGATAATACTACAGCTCAACAACAGCCTAATTCTTTTATTTTTTATAAGTAGAAGCCTGTGCCTACATCTAGCATGTGCACCAATCTTATGCTGTCAGCACTTAGGAATCTAAACAAGAACCTTGAGATGTTAGAGCAAATTAGTTAACTTCTGAACATACTGCAGAGAGAGATTAAAAATAGCCAAGCAACTCTTCAAGTTTTAAAGATTTCTTTTAATATGTGTTTGTGATGCAGATTATTTATTTGCTTTGAAAAAATCTATGCTTTCCAACCCATTTGTCTATTGCTAAAGGAAGAAAAAAGTAGCTTAAAGCCCCTCCTTTTTTTTTACCTGAGAATCAATAACAAATATTAGTGCTCCAGTGCCTCTGAAAATCATCTCATAATCAAACGTAGGGTCAAAGAAGTCAATTTGCCCAGGAAAATCCCATATCTGAAAGTTGACAAAGGAGCTGTTGGAAACATCCTCTCTGCAGATCTTGTTTGTGCTCTCCAAGAAGAGAGTCTCATTCGGCGACATTTTGTGAAAGACAACTTTCTGAATGGAAGACTTCCCGCTTCTTCTCAATCCCATGAGTAGGATTCTTGGCTTAACTTCAGTACTGAAGGGATCATTGAAATCCAAAACTGAATAAAATCACACAAGAAGAAAAGTATTATACTATAGCAATGTAATTAGTAACTGCCAGAAAACAAGCATTTGACATTTACTTCCATGATATTTTCACTTGGATTTATGCAAATGTTATTCCATCAACGCTGCCTCCGTACAATCCTTAACATCCATTGGTCAGACTATGTGACCAATACATCTGTTCTCGAACAGGCAGCAATTACGAGTATTGAGGCCATGTTACTGAGAACGCAACTGCGATGGGCAGGGCACGTCTCTAGGATGAAGGACCACCGCCTCCCTAAGATCCTGCTCTATGGTGAACTTGCCACTGGCTGCCGCAAGAGAGGAGCTCCAAAGAAAAGATACAAGGACTCCCTGAAGCAACAACTCAGCCTCGGGCATATTGATCACCATAACTGGTCCACTCTGGCCTCTAATCGGGAGGCCTGGAGACAGACCATTTATAACGCTGCTGATGCTTTTGAGAAAGCACGCAGGATCACTCTTGAGGAGAAAAGACAACGCAGAAAGAATCGAACCTTGCAGAATATACTATCTAAGGAGTCTTTCTGCTGTGTCTTTTGCAACCGGACATGCCTTTCTCGTATTGGCCTTTTTAGCCACCAACGCGCTTGCATGAAAAATGGGTAGAGCCCTTCCCAAATCTTCGTTCACGAAGCCTAGCCATGAAAATATGCAAATGTTACCAATTTTTAAGCTTAGGGAGCAGTGCTGCAGGCGTTTCAACTTGAATTATTTGCCCTTTAGGCTATACTATCAGAAAATCTACTTCTCACCTTTAAGACAGAGGTTGCTCCGTTTGTATGTGAAAAATGTGTTATCACACAGAGATATACTAAAATACCTGAATTTACTCTAATTAACACTATCCCATGCATATTCTTCTTTAAAATAGTATCATCTGATAACAAATACCCTTGTCAACTGATAGTCACACAACACTGCTGGAAGAAAGGCATATGATTAAGTACCTCTGTGTAATCTTCCTAAGGCTACCTGAGGGCTTCCTTCCTCTAAAATCAATCAACCAATAAATAAATAAATAAATAAAATCATGCATCCAAGGAGTTACAGGAAGATGACAACTCAGCAACAGGCACACAATGACAACTCAGGCACACAATTCTTCCATGTTGGAACTTACAACACAGTACTGAGCTCACGAGGAGTTCTTTTCTAAGGTGTTTAGAATTTCACCTGCTGTTGAATAATTTGTGTTAAAATCTGTGAAGGTTTGTTATCCAATAAATAAGATTAGAGCACATCATCTGCCTATTTGCAAAACAAAGGCCTGAGAACACAGTGATTTCATTGTGGTACCTACAACAGTTTGAAACTGGTACTACTTTTTCTGGTGCTGATAACTTACATTAGAATAAAGGTAGTTACAGGAGTAAACTATACTGTTATATCTGTAAGGACATGAATGTAAAGCTATCCATACCTGCAGATACACCAACTTTAGCTTCAGATATCTCTAACCAAAACAGCTAAAGTAGTCTCAATTGCTGCATTTAGTTGGCCTATAACTTTGAAATGTCCTTTGGTGCTGAGGTGAAAACAGCACTGTCCTTAGATATAAAAAGGTTTCAAACACCTCTGTGATACTCTGTCCGCACTGTCAAACACAAGCAACGCAAAAAACTGAGTTGTCAATGATAAATCCACAGAGTATGGCTCTGAGTACACAGTGGTCAGGTTTAAAATACCGATCACACAATAGGCTTAAACACATTAGCAGTCAGGCAGTCCTCCCACCCACTGCACTACAGACTATTCAACATACTTCAGAGCACAACTTAATTGCCTTTCTTTCTCTTTTTCTGCTGGGATAAATTTTGAATTGCAGAAAACTGACACACATTTATTCACATGCATCATTTCTGCATATGGCCTGCATACGTTAAGTGATCAGCTTTACTCCCAAAGTATGAAAATCCAAAACAAGAAACCTCAGCAACAACAGTTTGAACCTGTCAATTTATTACATAGCCTTATGGGCCAAAAAACATGGAAAGCTTGAAGGAATCCTTTGCCTAGGAGCATGTTTTGCACCCGGGGGGGTGACCACATCCATCTTCTTGTGTCCCTCAAGCCTCACTCACAACTTTCAGAAACACAAGAGCATAATATACCTGCCAGGACAGCACAGAACTTTGCCCAGGTTTGTTTGTGCCTCCCGAGCTTGAGCTACTGAGAATTAAGGCTTCTCAAACTGAAGGTGTTAGCATAAAACATCCCCTGGCACCATCTACTGGCTTGTGAGTGGTTGTGCCACTCTCACCAGTGACAGACAGGAGTTTTCAGCTCATTATGAGTGGGATCCTGTCCATTTCATTTCAAGACATTAGGAATGCCTTGGCAGGTATTACCATTTACTGTGGTCTTGTCAATTATCACATATGAAACACTGCCAGGCGGGAGCAGTGCACAGGTGAAAGTCCTTCAAGCAGAACAGCGACAAGTAACTCTGTAAGAATCTTATCCTCCAAACACAGCAATGGCCAACTTCTGCTGATCCACAGACAAGAAATTTACGAAGTAATAAACTGCAGTCTAAACGCTGCTCTGCTCTTCTTATCAACCTGAACAGTGATGGTCTCCTGTGGCTGCAAGAAACACGTGCCTACAATACTTTGCACCTACAGAGAAATAATACACATCTTCTCAAGGACAATGTAGCAATATTTTATGTTGTGGTGGTACGGTCTTGTCAAGAAAGCAAACCAAAGGTACAAGATTTAATGGTGTCTCCTCCATCCCACTCTGTCCTTTAATGCACAAATTTTCCACAGCTGCCAAATGCATAATCACAATTTCATTAATATGCGTATATCCACACATCATGCAATTTGGCCATTAGAAGGGAAAATAATGTATTCAAAGCTTTATATGGACTTTATAAAAGCATATAATGAAGAGTCTTCTGGTTGAGATTTTACTGCATGTTTCAAAAAATTAAAAAACCTCCTGTTTGTTCTGTACACAACAGAACTTACAAAGTCTAATTTACTATGGATTTGTACTTTGTGTCCCCTTCCTCTTCCAACCACAATAACACCAACTTCCTCCTGTGTGTCTTATGACATATCCTCCAAATAACAGATATGACACGCTGTGGCTGATCTGGAGCTCAACATATGCTGGTTGGCTAAACCACGTACACGTGTACACCAGTTTGCCAGCTGCTGCCACGAAGAACACACAAATCTGCTTGCCCATCCCTCTGAGGACACTTCATTTAGGTTTCCCCTCTCTTCTGAATGCCAGTTTTCATCAAGCTTGTGGGAAAGTAATAATAATCTTTGAGACATCGTCCATTCATATTTGGTTGGAAAGTAGTTTCCAAGGTTCTGACCATTGATAAGACAACCAAAAGCTAAATACAAAACTCCCTTTTCTTTCAGAAACAGGCTAAAAACTCACATATATCTAAAGAAATATTATACATAACTTGGAGTTTTACATTGTTGTATTAAATTATTCCAGGCTGTTATATTTTCATGGATTTTAATGCTTACTGGAAAGAAATTGCTTTCTATTAAAACCATACTAAAAAAAATAGAGTTGCAAGTGCTAACAGAGATACCTACGAGAAGAATGAAGACCAGCTCTTCTGCTAGTAAGACTGTTGTTTAGCTTTTGAAATTCTGCCAGTTCAGAGACAGAGAAATGTAAAAGAGTATCATCCAAACCTGACGAGATAGCAAGGCTTCTATAGCACTTCCCTCTCAGAGAGAGTTAAGAGATTACCTTATATGTAAAGGAATTGGACGATGCGTTGCCTGCCCACATTCCTCTGCAGGAGTACATGACAACTCCTTTTTTAATTTGCCATAGAAATGCCAGCAGATGTATCACTGCAACTTCCCAGACTAGGTTACTAAGTGAGATCATAATATGCCCAAAAGAAACACTAAACTCTTCTCTATTGTGTAACAGGAAAGATAATTTTCCCTATTGTGAGATACAATACATTTCCTGCTTCATTCACTTTTGTAAAAAGTGTTGTAAAATGCCAATCTCTAATGCATATCAACAGCCCTTCATATTTCAACTTTTCTAAGCAGCCATAAAAAACAGAAGCCATGTTGGTTAGAGGCCGTATCCTTTGAAGTATTCACAAATTAAACTCAACAAACCCAGAAGCACTTTCCCCAGAGAAGCATTCAATTCCTTACAAAACTTCTGTTCATTGCAGTTGTGTCCTTGCTTATGGAGTGCATTCTGCAGGCATTGCAACATGCAGAAGAGCACAGTTCCGAGGAGTTGAGAACTGCCCTCAGTAGTCCTGACCTGTCTCACCAAGATGCATACTTTTAACATCTCCTTTATGCTATTAGAGATATATGTTGATAACTAAAACAGTTTTTGAAGCCCATCCTGAATTCCCGATCAATTGCAATTGGTGACTATCAGTGCTTTGCAGGCATATGTGATGGAATGCCACATTCAAAGGTATATTTTAGATCTCACCAGTTTTCAAACATCCAAATAAAGCATCACAGCTTACCTGTTCAAGTGACATCAAGCCAAAAGGAATTATTTAGCTTGTGTTACATCCATAAGTAACAAGCCTCTAAGTCTTGTTTTGAACTACTGCAGCTAATAATGGGGTTTTTTTGCCCACTAATGCAGTTATATTATATTTAAGTTTTAATCATTTTTGTGTAAAGAAGAATTAGCAGTCCCAAACTTCCCACTCTCACCTTCAAGCCCATTAATCTTGTAGCATTTCCAGTACTACTGTGACTACAGTATTTGCAGCACTTTAGAGCTTCGTCAAGACAACAGCCTTACAAAACACATACAATGAACATCTTCAATGCTAACAGATGGCCTGAGCCTGAAGAGTTAACAGAAAAAGCTTATATGCAATGAAGAAGGCTGTTCAGCTACTGTAGGTTCATAAACATTGCAGAAATGCCTGGTGGAAGGAAATTCCTGTGGCTAAAGAAAAGACTCAGAACCAGAAGACCTAGTTCCATGCTGCCACAAGTGCTGCACTCTGCAATCGTATGTCTTAAAGCTACTTCCTTGGATGCTCTGCAGAGGGTTTCCTGCTTCTAAATACTTTTTAATTGCATCTATAAAAAAATACGATTAGGCTTTATGTAAATTTTAGTGCTTTAAGGTCTCTGAATGTGACCCTGTGTGTAAAGTAAAAATAAGAGAAGGACAAGAGCCATGGTTTCAGCATTGAAGCTGGAGACAAGTATCCAGTATGGGGTGAGAGATGACCAATATGAAGTTTTGAAATCTTCCTCATGCTTAGAAGAAGAAATTATGATCTTACTTTAAAGCTTGGCTTCTCGCTTCACTTTCAACAGACGTGCATTGAAACTGTTCTTCTTATACTGCCCTTTCCATTCTTTCTTTGTGGAAAAGTAGAGGCTGTCACACTGAATTTTGGACTACTTGCTGTACAGATACTCCAGAGAGAGGACAGAAACTGGGAAAAGGAAAGCCCCTTGCCCTGCAGCCCAGTGTTACACTATACACAGACCCAAATCCCAACCCTTCCATTTCAGATGCTCTATGCCTCTTTCTGCACAGAATTCCAAATTAAACAGAAAGCCAGGGGATCTGGACTATTAAAATGGACTTTGTTTTAATCCTGTGTAAAAAATGTCTCTATGTGGACTGTCTTCTCCAGCTATTCAGGATGTAAAGATTTGTTTCTATTACGTACAATATTCTGGTGTTACTATGAAGAAGCAATTGAAATTTTTTAAAGTCTAACGAAGTTCCTACTGAAAAATATCCAAATTCCTCCGAGGACATAATATGGATTACTTCTTTACAGAAAATACTGTGTTAGTTCAGCACTACAGAAACACATTAAAATATATTCTCTTTGCATCAAAATGAAGGCAGTTCTTCAGCAGGTTCAAGTAAGACTTTATTTAGTCTCAGCTACAGTTCTTATATTCTAGCATTCCCACAGCTTTTAACCATGAAGGCTTACACTCAAAGCACTGACCTTCCTCCCCTCCCCAGAATTATATTAGTCAATGCACCACCTCCCATGGCAGCCTGTAGGACTCGGCCTTTAAGTAGACTTAAAACATGTGGCCTTTTATTATGCTCTTATAAAAAAGCAATTCTTTTTTCATCCCGAGATACTGAGAGTTCTCCAAGCTCCTTTGTGAAATATGTCTCAGAAGAATGAATTCAGGCTCTGAATGAACGCAACAGGCTGAGCTGGCATTTCCTTTTTCTATTGAATGAGACTACTTTTCCTGGTAAGCCTGTCCTTCATAGCATCACCATCCATACTGACACAGATACTCAGAGAGTAACGTGGGTCCCCACATGCACAGACAGACGGATAGGAGACATTTAGCAGAGCCTGCCAGTGTGGGAGTGACACCCGCAGCTGCGGAGCAGCCTTGGACACAGAGCTGCGTGTGGCAGCTGCCTTTTATAGCCTCACACCCAACCCCCCACCTCCTTGGCACACTCAGGCCACATCATCAGGCTGTGGCCTCTAATAACTAATAACTCTCACCCCAGACATGGAGAATACTGAAGGGAGATTACACACACACATTTTGCCTGCACTCATTTTGCCTCCTCCCTCTTTCCCAACGCTTCCTGCTACCTGTCAGCCTTTGCCCTGCTCCCACCTCAGAGCTCCCTGCTCTCCCTGACCCCACGGCAGCACCCTACGAGCACCCTGTCCCCGTTCCGACCCTTCCCATGGTCACCTCCGCAGCATCGCCGCTCCGCCCGGCCCCTCACCGCCCATCCCCGGGCCTGCCCTCCCCCCGCACTCCTTGTCTGCCCCGCACCGCTATCCCTGCCTCACCTCACCGCGTCCCAAACCCCGCGGGGAGCCTCGCCTTCTCCTTGACCCACATCCGCGAGTAGACAAACCTCACCTCCCGGCGGTGGCCCCGTGCCGCCGGCCACCGTTCCGGCCTCACCTCAGCGCCGGCCCCGCCTCACCCCACACCCGCACTCACTGCCGGTCGCTACCCCGCAGCCCCTCCGAGCCTGGTGCTGCCCTCCGGCTCCCCGGGAGCAGCCGCAGCCCCGCGGCGGCTGTTCCCCGCCGCCCCCGGTGCCGAGGCCGCTGCGGCCGCCGCGGGCGGCACTCACACGCCTCATCGCCGCCGCTCTCCGCGTCGCCGTCCGAGAAGGAGTCGGCCCCGTCGGCGTAGCCCGCCAAGCCCACGATCTCCTCCTCCTCTTCCTCCTCGTCCCCTTCTTCCTCCTCCGGCAGCTTCCTCGGCACCTGGCTCATGCCGGCCGTGCTCCCAGCGGGGCTCCGCGGGCCCCTCTGCCTGCGGGCGGGCTCGGGACGCGGGGGGCGCAGGTCCCGCGCTGGCGCCGCGCCCGCCGCCGCTCCCCACCTTCCCCCCCACGGCGCTGGCGGAGCGCGGCGCAGCTGCCGGCGGGGCGGGCGGGGAGGCGGCGTGACCCGCGTCACCTGACGCGCCCGGTCACGGGCCGCCGGGGCCTCCGCGCCCGCCCGGGCCCCCTCCCGCTCCCGCTGCCGCTCCCAAGCCCGGCCCCGCCGCTGGCACTGGGCGCTGGCGGGCAGAGCCGGGCGCTGCGGGGCTCACCCGCGGGCTCCAGGGGCCTGCCGGGCGCCGCCGCGGCCGCCCCGGCTGTGCTCCCGTGGGAGCGGTGCACACGGGAGGCGCTGCCTCACGCGTGCGGGGCGTCGGAGGAGGTGAGCGAGTGGCCTGGTGTGCCAGGCAGCAGCACCGTGGCGACAGCTGGTGTTTCTATTACAGGCAGCCTTCCTCAGAATCAGTTAGGTTGGAAAAGACCTCTGAGATCATCGAGTCCAACCTGTGACCTAACACCACCATGGCAACTAGACCATGGCACTAAGTGCCACATCCAGTCTTTCCTCAAACACCTCCAGGGACGGTGACTCCCCCATCTCCCTGGGTAGCCCGTTCCAATATCTAATAACTCTTTCTGTGAAGAAATTCTTCCTAATGTCTAACCTAAACCTACCCTGGGGCATCTTGAGGCCCATGTTGTCTCGTCCTGTCGCTGGTTGCCTGGGAGAAGAGGCCGACCCCCAGCTGGCTACAACCTCCTTTCAGGTAGTTGTAGAGAGTGATAAGGTCACCCCTGAGCCTCCTCTTCTTGGTCACGTCCTGAAGCCTCACCTCGCACAGAGCCCAAAAATGGGCTCTCAGGACTCTCCTTCATCACCCCTATATGCTGTGGGAGCATGTGGGAGACTGTGGGACCCAGGCAGGACCTGTGTGTGCCTGGTGCTGCTCAGCTCACACATCTGCCCTGCCTGCTCCAGGGCCAAATGGTGCCGGCAGCACTGCTCATGCCTGCCCCGCTTTCCTTCCATGCTGACTATGTCAGCGCACGTGCAGGCTCAAAGTGTTAAGCCAGGCACTGATGGCGGGTGGTAACGTGTTTGCAGTAATGGTGAGAGAGATTATTTTAGAAATAATGACTTGATTAATAAGGAACACTAAAGAAAGCCATAGTAGTGAAACCTCAGAAGAGGATGGGATTTTGATGCCCCTGTCAGACCAAGGTTGTCTGCCACTGCTTTCTCCAGGCCTGCTCCACGAAGACAGACCTTCTGCCCTTCAGCCAGGCCCCTTCTCAGGATATTCCAATGCTGCTCTTGTTGTCTTGTACCAATCTAAGTACCAGGATGTGTGTGTTAGCCCCTGCCTGTCTTCCCATGCTGCCTGTCATGGTGACTAGCAGCTGAGTTCCTGATTCTCCAACAGCAATTTTTCCTCTTTTACTACTTCCTGCTGTCCTGTTCTCCCTCCTTGTATTCAATGTAATGGTTGGATTTATGTTGGAAGTCTCCACGTGTTTTCTGCAGCTGATTATTTTCCCACCTTTACGCTGTATGACAGTCTTCTCATCGGAAGCCCTTCCAGGTTGCACTAACCCACTGGAGATAAGGGAGGCACACTTTTTGTCCAGAGAGGTAGAAATCCTCCTCTTATATTCCACATCATGCCAAACCTACCCATACACAATTTTATTGAAATGCTTGCTTTATTCTCAACTTATCAACCCACTCTGAAGTTTTTCTTGAACAGATTAATAGTATACTAAAAGATCATGGGAAACGTTTCAAAGTTAAATCCCTTACAAGGAATTAGGACTTAGATTTGCAGCAGGATTTTTTTTACCAGTCATGTTTTCAGCATTGTCTTGGGACAGCCCTGGGAGGAATTAATCTGCTGAAAACTCCTGATGGAAAGAGGAGGAGAGTTTCCAGGTCTGTAATGAAGGGCCATCTATCTCACACACCATCTGACCACATCTATGCAAAAAGGGCTGTTGGGTTTCAAGGCCAGCTATGGGAAGTGGGTCTTGCCCAGAAATCTGACTGTCTGTATTAGGTTTCTTTTATACAAAGAGCTATGAAACATCACCAGCGAGACAGAGAATAATTTGGAGATATTGAAATACTAAATCAGGGTGTGGAAACTCAAAAATGAGGACTAGTTACAATGCAGCTCTTCCCACAACCTTCCCACGACTGATGTCAGTGACCTGCCTGACCACAGCTTCAGGTTCAAAGCCACATAGACTCCAGGTCTATTACCAGATAGGTTTTTAGAGTAGGGCTGAAGCACTTCTACCAACCCCTTAACAATATAATCTGTCATGGAATCTACATAAGCCTCCTCTGTCCCTTTGCCTCCAGGTGTTTTTCTGTCCCCTCTGCACCTAGCCTTTTTCTTTCCTTCCTTTTCTTTTGTCAGGCCATTTGATTTTGAAGCTGGTTGCACATAATGAAACAGCACCCAGCCTTCAGTCACAGGACTTGTAGTAAGGGCAGGTAGATGAAGGGTTGAATATTTGAATATATGATATGTACAGTGTAAGATGTGACTGAACTTTGTCTGTGGGGAGCTGCAGTTCATAGACATGACACACTTTCTGTTTTATGCAACTGACGGAATCCCTCTTGAATTTCTCTTCACAACAGGAAAAAAATATCCAGAAGAATACAAAGTTGGCTGTCTAGATTAAAAAAGGTTAATGTTAATTAAGGAAATAGCCCCACTGACATCCACATGATCTGCATCCAGGTTTGCAGGATCATGATACCATCTCATACAGTTCCTGTTAAAGAGGGAGAACTCCTATGAAATAGATTGGTGGCAGATCAGTGCCAAGAAAGCCTTTTTCTGCAATGTGTTAATATCTTGTTTCTCAATCATAATGATCAAACATAGCCAAAATAGTCCTGCAAACTTTTACATATACGGAACTTATTTAATATGAGCTTAATTGTTACTCACACAAATACCTCCATTCCTACATCAAAAATTTACGCTATATCAAGTAAAAGAAAATTCACATGAAGTAGGCCTATCCTGAATATGGAAACGAGCAAAGGAAATTGTAGTATGAGGAATGACAGTGTATTTTTATATGTTTTAGTAACTACATTCTAATTCAGTAATGACACTAGCCTTCAGACTAATGTTGTCGTTTTGACAAAGCTTTGCTGAGATCAGAGAGGTGTCAGAACAATAAATCCAGTCAGTCGATCTCCTGCAGAGCACCAAGGGCTTTTATATGAACCTATGGTGTGACTATTGTCATGGAGCGATGACTACCATATTAATCATATAGTGAAAAAGGCATAAGTAGATTTATCTGCAAAAACCTTCAAAAGAATATATTCATCACTAACATGTGATACTTCAATGTGTAGTTCATTTAGGGCATCAGTTCATTTAGGGGATTCTGAGAATACCTTATAGCCAGAGGAATGGCCTTTGAAAGTGATGTGCCTGTGGGATCAAGGATGGTATGAAGAGCCGCTTGCTTTCTGTTTTTCCTTCTTCCTCTGATCCTGCTTTTATCATTTTGCTCACCCTACTCACACAAACTCCTTTCTCCTGTACTGGTGTCTATGGATGGTCCAGTCTTACTTGCCTCCTTACCAGTTTGTGAATTACTGACATTCGCCTGTAATTGCCCAAACTCATGACTTGGGTGAGCAGAAGGTCCCTTGGGACATTGTGATAGCTGGAGGGGTGGGTGAGGTGGTGAGTAGGCAGAACCAGGTTTCAAGGCATCCCTCTCTGACCTTCTGCCCAAGACTTCAAAGCCTGCTGGCTGGCTCCCTGCTGGAGGGAAGGGCATCTGGCCTCCCCGAAATTGGGAAAATTTTTCTGTATCCAGGTCTGGGCACCTCAGTACAAGAGAGACACAGAGCTGCTGGAGCATGTCCAGTGGGGGGCAATGAGGATGATTTGGGGAATGGAATATCTGTCTTATAAGGAAAGGCTGAGGGAGTTGGGCCTGTTCAGCCTTGAGAAGAGATGACTGAGAGGGGATCTCATTAAGGTGTATAAATATCCAAAGGGGGGTGCCAAGAAGATGGAGCCAGGGTATTTTCAGTGGTCTGAACGGCTAGGACAAGAGGCAACAGGCAGAAATTGATGCACAGGAAGTTCCACCTGAATACGAGGAAGAACTTTTACAATGCAGGTGACCACACACTGGAACAGATTGCCCAGACAGGTTATGGAGTCTCCCTCACTGGAGATATTTGAGAACCATCTGGACTCAATCCTGTGCAATGTGCTCTAGGACGACCCTGCAGGGAGGTTGGACCAGATGACCCACTGTGGCCCCTTCCAACCTGACCGATTCTGTGATTCCGTGGTTTTGTAGCGCTTCTGCTCCTACGCAAACTATTACGAGCTTCCATAATTAAGTTGCAAAGGAGGTTCGGTTCAGGAGCGCGTCCGGCCCGTGCTGAGCCTGGCTACGGACAGAACCCGGCGTTCCTGGCCCGGGCGTGGGGGCGGAGGTCGGTCCTGGCTCGGCCCCTCGCCGGCGGGAGGCGGCCCGGGCTGAGGGGGCGCTGCCCGCCCGCCGCGGCCGCTCGGTGTCGCCCTCGCAGCGGGCACGGCGGCGGCGGCGGCGCCACCTCCGGGGCAGCCCCAACGCGGCGGCGGAGGCGCCGCTGGAAGCGGCAGCGCCGTGTCCGTGCCCGCCGCGCCCGGCGGGTCGCGTGTGCTGCGGGGGAGCGCAGGTGAGCGGGGCGCCGGCCCGCGCCCGCCCGCCGGGGTTGCGTGTGGCTGCGGCGGGGCGGGCGGGGGCGCGGGCGGCGGGGGACGCACAGGTGATGGCGGAGGTGGCGGGGCTGAGCTGGGGACGGGCCCGGCGAAGCCAGTGTCCAGCGCCCGAGTAATGAAAGTGTTCCCGTATTCCGGCCCGGAGCAGGGTCCGAGGAGGGACCCCCGCGTCGAGCAGACACGAACCCTCCGGGCTGCCTCGTAAGTGCAGCAGCCTGTGTCGACGTAGGGGTTCAGTTGCAGATTTGGGAGTATAGACGAGGAGCCTTAACGCACTTGTTCCAACTTTTAAGG